AAAATGTTTTTTTGTTTTTTTTTTTTCTCGGTTTTTTTTTTTTTTTTTCTTTAATTTGAAATTTTTTTTTTTTTTTCTCGGTTTTTTTTTTTTTTTTCTCCTTAATTGGCTTCTTCCTCCTGCACTAGTGTTCCTGATCAAATGTGAATTGCTTGTACCTTGCAAACAGGCGAAAGGCTTCAGGAGTACCTTTCCTAAAATTCTATTTGACAGGGATGCTTGGATGTCTGAATACTGGACAGGGGCAAACTGGTATATTCAAGCTTGCTTTTCTAACTATTTGTGTTTTAAGTGGAGCACTACATTGATATTTCATGACTGTTTAATAATTTTGGGTTTTTAAAAGTGTCTCATTTCTTTATACTTAATTTTATTGTTGGAGTGAAGGATAAATCGTTGGGCCCTGATATAAAGCCGTTGTGGACTTTAGCAAGAACCTGAGGAGCAAATAATTGGAATATAGTTGTAGACTGATGCAGTTGTTATTTGGTTTTACTAGCCCTGCACTGTAATCGACTTTTGTTTTTAATAATCAGTTTTTAAAAGTTGCACTTTACTGGGGTCCTGTTGAGTGTAATTTCAGAAAGTAAGTTCTTGCAACACTGGAATCACAGCGATAATCTGCAAGGATGATTTTGGAAAGATCAAGGCTTGAAATCCCTGAGCAGCACCCGAAATTTTCATCCAAATAAGTGCCTGCAGTGCGTTTGCCGCACAGTGCATTTACAGCGTTGCTTTTCGTCAAGTGTTCCCATAGAAAAACCGTGTAATAAGGGGTGGAACAGAGTTCCTCTTGTTGCCATGTAGTTTTTAAGTCGTCGTCAGAGGAGAGGTAGCTGGAGGAAAGGGCAGCAGCAATGGACTGGCGCTCAGGTGAGATTCATGGGGGTGAAGCGTGTACTCTGCAAAGCAATGGGAAGCACTGCTCGGCTACCACTGAGGATCTGATTTATAATTAATGAGCTGGCATTTACATAGCAAGAAGATGGACTCTCCTGAAATAAATCAGGCATAGCTCCGTCACAGCTTAACACATGATGAGAATGCAGTGTATCCTTCAAGCCTCCTACCTCGAGAAATTATCTGATGTACTCATGGAGGCTGCTTCTCCTCCCCTCACCAAATGCAGGGCTTGGATTGAAATTGTTAATATTAATTGGAGCCGAGATGATTGCAGTGCCACCCCATCAGGCTTCAGCAGCCCTCCTGCTCGCTGACGTCGCAGCAGGGGTCTGTTCAGCATGGGCGGCTCTTCTCCGCTATGGCACGTACAGTGGTATCAGGTTGATTAATGTGCCCAATAGAAATAAAACAAATGGAAATTTTTTTAGATTATACAGCACACTCATAAATATTAATGCACTTTTGTATTGAATTGCATGTAATTACATATTTATACATTAAGTCACCTTCCTGATACACTTAAGGCACTTTACTGATGAAAGATATCTCTGAATAAGATGGTTTTAAACCATGCCTAATATGTTTGTAGGATTTATTTAATAATGTGTGGGCTTGTATGCTGGCAGGAGAGGAGAAAAACCTCCATTAAAGTCTGAATGTGTTGTTCACAGGTCTGCTACTTAGTTTGCATCGACTCCATGGGTAGCTGCTGAAAAATACGTCTCGACATGAAATATTACTACATCCCCTTATCTATGTAGATAAGGTCTGTGCAGTCCTGTCACCTTAGAGTAATTACAGCTTATTACTCTAATCATGATGATGCCTGAAGTCTGTAATTAAGATTGTGCTGGCTAATGTACTAGCACGCGGCATGGTACAGCTATTGTCCTATCTAAACAACAGAAAGATAAAAATTGGATGAGGGAGAAAGGGCAGAAAGTGGGGAAGTGATTTATGCAGGGCCACGGTTCCCAGCCAAGCGCCGCCTCTGCCGAACCCAGCGGCTTCCAAGACGGCAGAATCCGTGCGCGTCCTCTGCAGCCCCGTGTGCGCTCCTGTACCGACGGTGCGTCCAAAACAATCCCAGGCAGTTTGCACCCTCAAACACGAGGATTGACACCGCATGTGAGCTCTCTTCAGGCTAATTTTAATGCGTCCTATCCACCTGTGTCTAAGCGTTTATTATTTTAACATGTCCTGTTGCAGTCCAGTCTGCAGATGAAGAATTTAATATATATTTCTATATACATATATATTTTAAGGCCAAATCGTGTATCCGTTGAAAGCAATGAGAGGTTCTACCATACAATTCAATAATACAGGGGTTTGACCCACAGCACTCTGTAATTTTCTCTGCAGCGATGTCAGCTGGTGAAAAGCAGACGGCTGTTCTGGAGGAACATGGTTGTCTAAACACCAGTCTTTATGTCTAAATTTCATAGTAAGCCCACCCACCAAACTGGATTTAAGGCCCGCTTTCGCAATTTGTAGAATTGCAAGCGATGTACACATGGAGCTCCCTTTCCCTTCTTTGCTAGTAAGCAGAAGAGGCACCTTATTTTTGAATATTTCTGCAAATTGTTCCTTCTGTCTCGGAAGATATGTTTTCATAGAGTTTGCAGAAAGCTTTGTGAAGCTGCTGTCACTCATCTTAGCTGTAGGTATATATGCAGATTCTTTCGTCCCAATTCTGACATACACCTAAAGTAAAGTTTAGCTCATCTTGACAATTCATGAAACTTTATGCAGCTGGCTAAAACATGGGCTTCTTATGGAGGAGGTTATCCCAGATATGGCCATAGTGATCTGCAAAATTGGACCCATTTTATGCCCTCTTTAAAGCTAATGGGAGCTAGTAATTTCTTGATGGCAGTGCTAGCCCCATTAGACATTTTATAAGTTTCTGGAAGCCTGCCACTGTTTCATTTAGATCTGTAGCTAAAGAAAAAAAAAAAAAAAGACCAAAAAAAAAAAAATGAAAAACCACCACAAAAGCTATTTAGTCATTAGGAGAATATTTTTTTTTTTTTTTCCCCCAGAAAGTTTCCCTTTCTTCATTTCTTCAACCTTTCACATTTAGAGTGAATCGTCTTAATAGTATTTCTAGCTACAAATACAATCTCCATGTTTTAACAGAAGTCTTGTGCTGGTATAATGTGCTATTCGTAAAGCACTGGATTTTTTTGATGCTGAACTGAAAAAATAAATATTTATGTTTATCATTAGCAGCACGATGATAGTTATCTTAAGACACAAATCTGTTCTATGATAAAATATCTCATTGTTTCAATAGAGTGCACTGAACAAGTTGTAATTCTGGTGCTTTTCTGCTGTGTTGAAGTTGCTCTGTGGGAATTGCAGCGTTACTCCTTTTTCCAGGTTATTTCCCGAAGCGTAGCTGAATAGGCCTGAGAGCGGGAGCTGCTGTGCGAGGTGCTCTGTGTTTGGTATCCGGGAGGTCAACGTGTATTTGTAGTTGCTGTAGTTGCTATTTTATGAAGCTATTGATGATGAGAATTGGTGAAGTAGTAACCATAATACGTGACACCCAAGAATTTGCCTTCATGCATTTGTGGTGTATATCTAAATCTAAAACCTTCCTGGGAAAGGAGACAAAAGGTGTGCTCGGAAAAGTGATTCTCCTTACTTTATTTTTCCTTGGGCTTGCCCTGTAGCATCTCTTAGCTTGTGTACAGTGCTTTTTACGAGTGGGTCTCAAAGCATGTTATGATGATCGGTGCTGCTGCTGACTCTTTTTTTTTTTTTTAATGGCTGGAGGAACCAGAGAAGAGAGACATGACATTCTTAAAATACTGATCCTGCTTTATAGCTAAGGATGCTAAAGATTTTTTTTTTCGTGAGCTTGGATAAAGCTCTAACTTCTCTGATATGAGGAACACTGTGTGAAGAAAAGCTTAGGATATTTCCCATGGTGTCTTAGGTGAAGAAAAGGGACAAAAAGTATCTTACAGCTTCTGTTCCGTACTCCCTTCTTAATGCTTGTAAAATTATTCTTTTCACCAAATATCGAATTTGAACGTTGACTGTTTTCAGTTTAATTAATGTTCTCATTGGTTTTAGTTATGAATTTTGTGAAGCTCTTGTGTTTTAGATAGGCATTTAGGGAGCATTCTTTAATTAAAGCCAAACTGATTTTTGCCTTTAGGCATGGTTTTTTTGCATTAAAAGGTGGCATAATTTGAATTATATTCTCCTGAACCTGAGTCTTTGTGACACAGGGACCAGCAGCCCAATTTCTTTCCTGCTGTTGGTTATAATACTAAGTGACAATAAACAGAAGCATGAAGGCTCACAAGATCATATGGTACTTGATGGTAGGGCACAGAGAGCTTTTGGTCAAAGCAGCCAGGCATGTTAGTAGAGTATGCTTAAAGTATTACACTATTTGAGTAATGTGCCCCTTAAATGGAAATACTGTACTCTAACATATGGAGTTCTTGGAGTAGATATGACTTAGCAAATTGTATTTATTAGATGCACAATATGCATTGTAATTTACACTTTTCCAATAGCTTCTAAATTCTTCTCTCTCAATGACCCTCCAGCCTCCTCTTCCTCTGCCTTTAATTTTGTGTTATTGGAGAATTTTTTTCAAGTAACGTTTATTTAAAACAAAAATATGAATTCTGTGTGTTGCAGGTTATAGGTAAGAAAATACAGTAGCTGTAGGCTAAGCGACAAAACTCGTGTTTAAGTTACAAGACTCGAGTGGTTTTTATAGATAGACATTGACTCTGGGCTTTAAAGAAGGGTCAGTAACAAAGTTTTCAAATACAAGCTTTTTTTATGTGAGATGCATTTGAGAATTATGAGGTTGACGGTATGAAATCTAAAGGAGTATGTGTCTGCTTCTGTGCGCTCCATCTTACAGATTTTATTTTGCGTTTGCCTATCTTTTGATTAAGTGGACACCAGTGAAGACTGCTTTCTCCTTTTCTGGTGATTGTAGCATTGCCTCAAGAATCCTTTGCTGGTCACCTAGAATTGCTGCTTAAAGAGGTCGACCAAATCAGAGCCGTATCTTAACCACTGTGTTTTTCTTCCCTTCCTTCCCCCACTCCCTCCCTCTGCAGAAGGACGTAGCTCTGAAACCTCAGGAACGTGTGGAGAAGCGACAGAATCCTCTAGCCAAGAAGAAACGGGAAGCGCTTACCAACGGGCTGTCGTATCTTCCAAAAAAGAACAGACTTCACCACCACCAGTACAGCTCCGACCGCGAAAATGATCGTAATCTTTGTCAGCACCTTGGGAAAAGGAAGAAAATACCGAAGGGCCTCAGACAGGTGGGAGACAAGTTATCTGTTGCGGGGAGGGAGGGCTTTGGCTGTTGGCACATGGTATGTAGAAGCAGATTTCTGATTTTGTGGGATTACTTATTTTAACCCCTTCGTAGTTGTTTTATTCTTGGTCTCTCAGGTGCCGCTTGGTAGCATGTCCTGGTACAAGAAGAGATGAATTGAGTGGGAAAGCAAGTGGTGTATTGATGCCGAGCTGATTAAGAAATGTGCAAAGGCTTTCCATAGGCTGGCTGCGAGACTGTCAGGGCAAACAAATGTGGTCTCTCTATTACCTTGTTAGGCCAACTTTGTGCTATAAATACGCCTTCTTGTTTTTAGACTTTGTACACAGAAGCATAAGACCCCGTTGAACATCAAGGGCAAGGTGCGGTAATTGCAAGAGGGGCAGCTGTTAATCAAGACAAAGCTCCAAGACAGATTACAGTGCAAGGAGCTCATTTGTAGGATGTCAGTGGTACTGGTGTGTGCTCTTCTGGGTAACTAATCACCTACCCGTAAGCAAGAACCTTCTGCCTTCCCAACACTGGTGTTCCCTTACGGTGGTAGCTGTGGCGCACGTGTGACACAAGTGAGCAGGTAGCAAGGCCTGAGGCTGGAAATCTTGGACTCTTATTCAGGACTGTGCAGTGTTGTGTTTCATGTTTTTAAAAAAGAACAAAGTGTGACAACTGTGATTTCTCTGGTGAGCAGGATGCAGAAAAAAGAGCCATGTTTTGCTTTTTTTGAATAAATAGCCCTCGTGTCTTTGTTATATATAAAAGCCTAAATTAGAGCTGGGCATTTTAAGTATAGCATGTGCCTGTACGGTCATTTGACTCATTGTCTGCGAAACTGAAGTCTAAAGTAACAGTAAAGAGGTCAGCTTTGACTTAAATTTGAGTGATATTAATGATTCTCTAACCAAAATTTATACGTCTAATGGAGATGGTGGATATTCGTTGAATGAGTCTTCGTCCTCGTTTGGTGCAAACCGAACATGGCTTTGGAGAGGAACTTTTAGAAAATAGTGAGAATTCACTGCTTCTCATTTTGTGAGCTCAGGGAAATGGAAGGAGTATTGAGGATGACAAGCACATTGACTGGTATTCAATTTTGATGTTCACAGTTATGGAAGCTGGTAAAAAAATGTTTCCATGATTATTTTTAAGCCTATACTGTATATAGGAATAGAATAAGAGATTATAGACTGCTTCAGCAAAGCAAACAAATTGTAAAATGCCTATTCTACACTACCACACCCATTAAAGATATTTCTTCTAATTTAATTTTACTTTGTATTTCAAAGGGAGGTGGGGAAACTCCTCAGGATAGTTGAGGCAGTGGTTATGTTATAAGTAGATACTGAAGGTTTCTGTGTTTCCTTGACTGTTTTCTGTGTTCACCTATGCGGTCTTCACTCTTGTGTTCCTTTTTAGTATGTCAAATGGTAAATGTATGTGCTTTGTGCCGTAGGAACTGGCCTTCGTAAAAGCTGACTTTTTGCACTATTTGATTCCCCTGGTATAGCTGACTGTCAGGTGAAACCTTTCTGCCTGGTACTTAAGCAATGAAGGAATCAGGCTTGCTGCTGATCGAGGTTATTTGTGAGGTTATGTTTTTAGGAACAAATGTACACTGGCTTGGAAGGTATTGAGTTGACAAATGTCATAGAAAATGGTTTTCCTTTTAGCTGATAAATCTGAGTACTCTGCTTAATTCCTGAGGGATAAGGTTGAGAGGAAATAAAATATCTTGCTCAATATAAATTTAATGCATTTGGTAGGGGTATAGCTCCTTAGATAAGAACATTTTAGTCTCATGAACAGTTTAGGTGCTGACAAATCCAAGTGGCTTTGGCACTTAGATGTGGAAAAAAGATGTCACGGAAAAGACTATAAAGCTTATTTGAAAAGACATGCCCACGACCTTTATATATAGTATTTCTGGTAAGTGTTTTCTGTCTTTTCAAGACAAATGGTGAAGACCTCAAAAAAGGAGGAGAATGATAAATTCTGAGGATGGTTTTCTCTGATCATGTAGCACTCTTCCTCCTAGAGTGACTCCTGGCTGCACACCTTGTGTTTGTTTCTCCATGCAGCTCCATCCCACGGAATTCCCGGGCTCTCGATGGGAAGTAAAGTTGCTTGTCAGCCTTATCAGATGACAGCAAACTAAGAACAGGGCCCACTGGTGTGTTGTGCTTGGCAAGTAGGAAGGTCCAAAGCCAATTAGAGTTTAGAATTCTGGATACATATGGTGTCCTTGCCACATTAGAGCTATATATTTTATATGTAAACAATGTATCTTGCCCCTGTTGTCCCCGAAGGAATCCTGAATTGTCACGTGTGAATATTGTAATTGAATGGCAGGATGCAATCTCGATGCTGTCACTTGCATTCCCCTGCTGGCAAAAGACCTTGGCTGCAGTCCGTCCCTGTTGGGAAAGGTTTTTATACCTGGAGATCTTGTTCGTTGTTTTACCAGTAGTTAACAGGCCTGTCTGATAGGCCTTTCTGTGTTATCTGTTAGCTGCTGGAAGTAACCCTCACATGCAGGATTTATGGTATGAAGCTCCCTCGTCCAACAGATTTAGTTGAAGTCAGCTATTGGAAGGACTGCTAATTAGTTTTCAAAGAAAATCCTTGCAGTATTCATGCAGGTATTTATCCAGCTATGCTGAAATGCCTACAGGTTTATTGAAATCCAGAAAATGTGAAACTGTAGGTTAATTAAGGCTCATATTTTACTAGCGAGAAGACTTTTGAACTCTGCTTTGTGAGCTTTTATAAATGTACTTATTAAACGCCTCAAGGAAATTTTAGTTGGCATTAAGCAAACATAAGACTCATCAGAATATTTCTCCAGCGTTTTAAATTTAGTTTCCTTTACGTTAATTGGTGATGGTGTGTTTTTATGTGTTTTTCTGTAAAAATCATCTGGAAATCTTAAAGTGAACTTTTTTAAAACTAGTAAAAGGGTGGCAAAAATTTTTGAGTTTTTATTCATCAAGGTTCGAGGAGGATGGGACATACTAGGAAACAATGAGTTTTCATTGCAGAAGGAGTGTTGAGAGTATTTTGATAGTGAGATGGAAGGATCGTTTCTCTTTATTCAGTGGGTCTGTGTTTTGGAAAGAGCAGAAGTTGCTGACTTTTGCTACCTCTACCATTTCCTGCATTGTTTTCTTCTTCTGCTGGGAGATTCATACGCCTTCTTGCAGAAAAGGATTGTCTTCGGCATATGCTTCTAAACCAGCAATCTCTGTGCTGGGCAAGTGGTATATTAGCTGGCTTATGTGTATACGAGAGGCAACTGCTGCTGGGCTCTACTTTAACGGGCTGATTCCAAAGACGCTTGCAGAATATCAAATGCCAATCCCAGATACCGTGTGAGTGCAAGGAAGGAGACAAACTGGTAATAAATAAGGGGCAGATAATGAATAAAGGGAAGAAAACTCATGATGGAGAGATGAATTAGGAGGTAAATTTTAATAAGGTAAAGGAAAAATGGGAAGAACAGCAAAAAAAGATACACTGCTGACTCTGCCAGTCATCAACTACAAGCATTATGAACTACTAGCTTTAACCTCGTAGTCCATTACATGAATCAATTAAGGGGAGGGAGGGAAGTATTGAAGCTTTTCCTTCTCAGAATTAAGTCCACGATCCCCTTGGCAGTCTCGCCCTGAATCTATCCATCTTAAATTTGTGACTGCTAGGGCTTTTGATGGCTGATCTGGATGGCCACTGTCGTCCTCTGTCATCGTCGCTTACGAACATCATGTTGTTAATTGTGCTGCAGATTTACTTATAGCACGCTTGGCCTTTGGTGCAGAGGTGCTTGTGTGCTTCTGTACAGCAAACCTCTGGCGCGGAGGGTGGAATAACCGTGTTGTGATCTGCATTTAATCACGCTTGCAGTCAGGAATGGCTTTTGCACACTTTTAGACAAGCCTATACATGACAGGTAATGAGAGCGGAGCGGGAGGTGGGTGTTAGCTGTATGGTTTGTGGTGACATTGGTTGGGGAGCTGAGCAGATGGGTTTGATTGTCACTGGCAGTGTGATTCCAGTGAGAGCTGACTGTGGTGACAAGCGATTTACAATGTGCTATTTACAGTTTGGGTTTGCAGTCTCTCAATGACATCTGAGTGCTCTTTAGCAACTGCTTTCATTACTGCTTTTCTAAGAGCTGTTAATTGAAAATGAAATTGTGGGTGGGCTTTGGGAGTGCAATAGCAGCTACGAGTATTATATGCAACCATGGAGAACTGTTTAATTTCTTTGACTCCCAACTTGTAGCTCTGTGCAGCAGCAAGGGAAAAAACGTGTATGTATTTGTACAGTGTGCAGTTAGACACCTTGGAAATGCTGCAACAACGTGTATACACCCATAATGGGTGATAAAGGCTTGAGTCTCCTTTTATACAGCTGCTGTGATTTGGGATTACTTCACTGGCAGCCAGAGGATTTCAGTGACTGTAGAACTGCTGAAGATCAGGAAGGAACCTGGGCCATGAGCATAGCTCAGGGCTTTGCAAGCCGTGCGGGCCGCGTTTGGTCTAGTTTTGCACCGTTGGAGGTCTGGCTCTGTATGACTGAAGTTAAGGGAAACGTTGCGACCGACTCCGAGAGCGTGGGGCAAACTTGCACGCCTTAGTAGCTGGGCCTCAGGTCAGCAGTGATACTGCCATGCGTTAATGGAAATTGAGATAATGTTTCTTTCCGTTCTGTTTGTAAAGAGAGGTTTTGTGTGTGGTGGTTTTTTTGTTTTTGTTTTTTTTTAATTTCAAAATACTAGCACAACCACTTTGAAATTACTAGGTTTGCTGTTTGTTTTGCAGCCTACACAGCGTGGTTTGATGTGTGTTGCCAAAAGGTTGAAGTAACCCAAAGCAAGTGTCGCAAGCAATAGGGCTTTGCAGGGGGCACTGGTTTAAGGAAACTTTGACTGCTATGTGTTGGTAATCTGGGCATTGTTTATTTGAATTTATTTGTCAATCTACC